GTAATTATAATTTTTATTTGATACTATTTTTTATTATTTTCATGAAATTCTTAAGCTGGAAAGTTAATTTTTCAAGCAACTCTAACAAAATTTTCTTTTCTCAAAATAGCTTTATATTTAACTTTACAAAAAGCTGTGTCATTCCAAACGGATTTTTATAGGAGCTCTATGACTTTGTTAAATTGTATAATCTAATTTGAGCTGAATCAATTGGCATGTTTTGATTTTATTCCGTGATCTATTATTTTAACTTTAAATTGAAGTTCTAAGTTATTAAAATGATTATATTTTGGTCTTATAAGAAATAATATATAATAAAGTTCAATAATTTTTTTATTAAAATATCTAAATCTATCAAGTTGATTATTGTCCAAGCATTTAAGCTATAGGAGAGCAATAAAAGAATTTAAGAGCGAGTTCTCTTGGTGAGTTCATCAACAGCAACAAAAACAACATGAAGCCTTTATCCCACTACGTGGGGTCGGTTATATGAATCCTTTTTCTCCATCGTGTCATTTTAAGAGTCAATTTTCCATTTAAATCTAATAAGGAAATATTATTTTCTAATCAATCTTTTTTAGGTATACCTCTACCTTTCTTAATATAGGTCAAATCTAATACATCTACTCTCCTAACAGAATCATCGAAAGAATGACGTTTTACATGACCAAACCATCTAAGCAGGGGAGGATGCAGTGTGGGGGCCGTGGGGGCACGGCCCCCCATTGAAAATTTAACTTAATTAAATGTATTAATTGCTCTTTAATTATATAAATTTTTTTAATTTGTGAGGCTCTTCCGATTCCCAAGCAGTGCTCCGTTCTTTCCTTCTTTCACGCATGCATGGCACATCAAGCGACCTAGCAAAGTAGCGAGGATTCCCGAATATGAAGGCTAGCTTCATGCTTACGTCGGCATCCGACGAGGCTTCAACCAGCAACCGTAGACTGCAAACAGCAAACCGTAGGCGCAAGGGCGGATCAGCGGATCGCACAAGTGCCAGAGGCTGTAGTATATCTGACTTTGATGAAAGAAGGCATCATTCTTCTTTATCATCAGGTCAATATAGCAACAACTGTAATCTGAACAATTAATTTGCAGCAATTTGAAAGTGAACTTGTATTTATATTATGTAGAATGTAAAGAGGTTTCTTTTGATTGCAGGAGGAGGTGGTCAATTTAAGGCATCAAATATGGTTAAAAATTAGAACGCTACCAGATTTTGAGGCGCAACTCAGAGGAAGATGCAAAGGCGGATTTTCTAATGACTACCTATCATACTACTTGTTTGTCGTTGGAACAGATGAAAATGATTACTTGCTGAACTATTTTGCCCCTGCTGATCAGGAGCAAAAACCTTCACTCTCAAAGTTTACCGAGGTTCTTGCGTCGAAATTGACATGATAGCTTAAGGTATTTGACCTATCTATGCTTGAATTATATGAATTGCATGAATTACATTAGTTTCTGGCCAATTAAAGGAAAATATAATTATTTACTATAGCATGTACATGATTTTTTACAAAAGCTTAAGGGAAAGACGAAATCTCCCTTCACCTTCCAGCTATGGTCCCTTGATACATCTTTTGATGGCTTTCTTAAATTAAATTGAATCTTTGTTAATATAGTTCCATATTTCCATTCCAACTTCATATGATTTTTTATTAATATAGACAATTAGACATAGTTGCTAGACATAAATGTGAAGATTTATATAAGTTTTTGCTTTATCACATATTTATTTTTTTATAATAAAACTAATAATTAAAAAAAATTAAACAACCAATGATTGTCCTAAGCCTCGATGAAAAAAATTGAGGATTTTTTTTTTTTTAACTTTAATGATTTGTGCCCCCACATCAAAAAAATCCTGACTCCGCCCCTGCATCTAAGACGACTCTCTCTAATCTTATCTATCATTGGAACTGCTCCAACCTTTACTGGAATATGCTCGTTTTGTATCCTATCTCTAAGAGTAAGTCCACTCATCCACCTGAGCATCCACATCTCAACAACACTTAACTTAATATTATGATTCTTTCTTAATGACTAACATGTTGTGCCATAACATATTATAGGTCTCACCACCATCTTATAAAATTTTTCCTTAAAATTGAGTGGTGAGTCCATCATGCGCTAAAAAAAACTTTTTGTTTGTTGAAAAAAAGTTGGATAGTGCTTTGTGATGATTTTTTTTTTAAATATTTTCATCATTAAAGAAAAAACATGTAATTTTTTAATCAATCAGTTCAGTCATTGTTGACATCACCGTCATATGTCATTGTCCTTCTAACAATCATCATCATCACTTCTTCTTTTTTATTGGCGACATTTATGACAATTAAGATAAATTCACACAAACATCACATACACAAAGACTCGAATCTAAGACCTCTTAGATGATAGCATAAACTCTAAACAAATAAACTAAGATGAGCTGCGTACCCTTCTTCTTTTAAGTTCTCGTGCCCTCAACCTTGTTGATGTACTTCTCCAATAAGGTACAATATTGTGTTTTATCCTCTTTTCAACTTGAAGGGATTTTGTAACGTTTACATGCCACTAATCTCGTGGATGTCTTTCCTTCAGCGATATCCCACAGTATGTTCTCTTATATTTCTTTCCTGTCTTATTTTTAATTTATTTGTTTGATTTTTTTAATATTCTGAACAGTGTAAACTTTAGAGTTGTTTGGATGAGTGTAAAAAGAATGCTTTTTTTTTTTGTTTGAAGTAAAGCGAATGCAATGTAAAATATAAAAATGTTATGCTTGGGGTGGTCTACGATAGCCGGTGGTTGGAGTTGGAGGGTGGCTATGGTGGTTGCTTGTGGTGGCGGTAGCAACCGGAGGCCAGTGGTTGCGGTGGTGGTTGTTGCCAGCTGACATCGAGGTGGCGGTGGAGACGGATGGCCAATGGTGTTGGTCAAGCTAGCTTTTGAGCTGTGTAAATGACTCTCGCTCTAAACTGAGCGAGAACAATTTGAGCTATGTAAATGACTCTCGTAGCATTCACATTACTTTGCTTTGAATTTATTTTTCATCCAACCAAATATTATACTTCTCAAAACCCTTGCATTTAGGTTACATTCCACTCATTTTCCTTCCAACCAACCAGCCCTTAAATATTAAGAATTCACCCCCCCCCCAAGCTAAGAATATAATATTGATACATCATCAAAAAATTACATTGATCGAGCACGAATCTCGAGGCAAAATCAAGTTGGA